ACTTGCCCGTGAAACAGATGGAAGGAGGTATTCTATGACTAAACTGGAATTATAACACTGAGTTCAAAGGGATTTGAGATACAAACTCACCTTTGTCATGAACAGTTGGATACTGAATAAAGCCAAAGCACCTGAACATGAATCTTTCTGTAATATGAAGATATTGTTACCAACAAAATGAGTGACTGTATTAAAACACGTATTGTAAGAACCATGAGGGACGGCTACAGCAAAAGTGACCTTATCCATACACATTTTCACATGATTTAGCCCAACTTTCCTGTTTGGACCTGAAAAAAACCTCGTCCTTCCTTTCAGTTGAAAGCCAGACTTTCAGTGCTCAGGAAGAGGTCCAGCTTTTCCTGGGATGATGGGTGCATACTGCAGTCCAGGCTGTAGGCGTTTGAAACAAGTTCCTCAGCTCCTCCCAACACCCACTGAAGCGAGTGCACCAAGGTTATGCCACAAATGAAGTTTTACTGACAGCCCCTCCAGGCTGTCTAAATCTGATTTTGATTTGCTGGTCATGCACTCCACAGACATTCTGAAGCCTGAAGGCTTAAAATCTACTATCAGTCTATTTTATTACTGCTCAGAAAGTAGTATCTCAGTATTTCACCAGTGGCTCTTCCGGGCATGTCCATAGCAATGCTGATCTCCATTAGGAACTGTGCAGATAGGGACAAAGTAAGGGAAAAAGGATAGGCAGATTCCCTAACTTGATTTGTTGGGAGTTCTCTGGCATCAAATGCTGGTATTAAAGATCTGCAAGCTTATTTCCTGATAGGCATTCAAGGCCCTCACTCTCTTGTCAGTCTGCATCCTGTACAAACATCGCGGCTCAGCTCTGTCAGCCAGTCGCGCGAGCACAAACCTCCACCTCCTGCTTTCCCTGCACCTCCTCAGGGCCTAGACTTTCTACCCTCCTGATTCACATTATGGAAATTCAGTTATTTTATTTCACCAACTGCTAACTAACAGCAAATATGCACTAATCTTTTACTCCTACTGATCTTGCTCATAAAGCATCTACTCAGTATTTCAGTTTATTTCAGAGCTGGGCCCAGTTAGAAGAAGGGGCTCCAGGACTAGTCCCTTGTTGAGGGCAAAGGTGCTGCTAAACTTTCCTGAGATTTCTTCCCTATCTCCTTTTCTTTCATCAGATTAAAAAGATCTAACTAGGCACAGTTCCTGTTCCCTCTTTAAAAAACAGAGGCTTTTAACACAGAAAAACAACTGTATTTGTTCAGAGAGCAAAAGCAGGATGTGTTCCGGCAAATGACTGTCTTATACACTCAGAACTTTAGGGCCACCCTATACATTTAGATTTATTTCAGTTTCCACATTTGGTTTTGGTGCTCTCATCTCTGAGTCCTTCAGTGAAGATGCTTCGATCCAGAGTGCTGATGCAAAAATCCCAGAACACCAAACCTCTGTAATGGAAAGGCTGAGGCTTCATCTGAAAGTAGCATTGGTGCATGCTGGAAGATCAGTGGCACATCCAGGACCTTTACTGCAAAGAGACCTCCAGAATGCAGTGTTTCCATATTGGGCAATAAAGTTGTGGTACAAATGTCCCAGCATTTATCTGGGAACTGTAATGAAACACACATCTATCCATTAGTCGAGATCTCTTTTGGATGTCACTGGACCTTGCTGTAGTAATATCCCTGGTTTGGCACAGAAAAGGTACCTGAGAGCAGAGCAGATCCATGGAATTCACATGGATTAGTTAACACAGCTCAACTCTGCACTCTTTTAAAAAGTCCCTGCAGAATCAGGACCCCTTAATACTTTACAGCCATGCTTAATACTGGAGAAAAACACCACACTTTGGTTTGCACCTGAGTGTCAGCTCGATGTCAAAATGTATTGTAAGATTTTACACACATCCCCCCACCTGCCTATGCAACAATGTCTAATTGGTTAATAAAGGAGAGACAATATTTAAATTATGGTAGAGACCTCTTCAGCCTGGAGAAGCAATGTCTTTCATTAATGCTGCTCTAATAGTCTTAATTTTATTCAGCATTACAGGTTAATTTACAGAACAAACATTATGATTATTGAAGTGACAATTCTGTACAGGAAAGCATTCACTGGCACATTTAATTTTTACCCATCTCCAAATCACTGTCATAACAGCCTATCCTTCACCTGCTCGGACCCACCCTTTTCAAGCAGCTTCTGAAAAACTCCTTCCAATTGCTTCAAAGATACTCATGCCTTGATCCTACAAGCATCCATAAGCAACCAGAAAATACAGCTTCTTGAAAAACAGGGTTGTTTTTAGATTTGGGAAAAGGCTTTTCAACAAAGGAGAAATTCAGTGAAATACGCAATTGCCATTTCCCCCATACAGTCTTCTTTTTTGCCATGTTGTTTTGACTGGGAAAAAAGTAACAAGTTGGGGGAGAGTGAATTAGCTCCCGTCATTGTCTGTGACATCCTTTATGTACAACTTGCTAAAAACCCTTGGTGCTCAGTTCCCTTCTATCAGAGAAGATCTTCCCAGCTCAGGAGAGTGTCCTTCTTTTCAAGCCATACACAACTTCTGCGATGGGGACCTCTTGTCCCCACTTCGCCTTCGCACTGCATCCAAGCACCTCACCCCCTTGCAGCCTTTGGCACAGACAAGTACAAATTTCAGACAACGGTTCTAAGGCAAGAGACGTGAAGGGGCTGAACGCAGCACATGCTGGCCACTGGGACACGCAAAGGTGGGTCTTCACCCTTCCAGCAGCACAGGGAATTGCACCAGGGCTTCCCACATCTTTCGTGAGCAGCTAGAAAGAAAGTTGTTTAAATTTGAATTTCTTCTGATTTTCTCTTAGAGGACATAAATGAAAACTTCTTTCTTGAGAAACACTTCAAAAGTTTTAGACTTATCTTGAACCAAAAGCATGTTGTTCCCCAATTTTTTTTTCATTCCTCTACCAAACCAAAAGACTCCATTATGCATGCAACCCTAAATCCAGTGTTGCACACTGATGGACAGTCACCTCTTCATTTCCACTGCACTGAGTTCTCCCTACCAGGCTCTGTTCCTTCACCTACAAAAGAAGGCATTTGTAACAGAAATTGCTAATGTTTGTAGAAAATAAAATCATATTCTAGAATTACTGCTCTTACTTATGACCTCTTCATTCTCACAAAGCAGGTGATCCTGGTTAATGCCTACAAGACAAACATCTGCTTATCCCCCTCCAAAAACAACAGATTAATAAAGCTGAATTACACAGTTAATGGTGTGGACAGTCTACCACAAAAGTGTGATCATATTTCAGAATATTACATCTAGCCAAATTTTAATGAAATTAAAATAAATAACTATTGCTATTTCCTCAGCTATTTTAAGCCACCTACGATTTCATAAATAATAACAGCAAGGATACTTTACCAAATTTTTGGAAGAAAAAAATAATTCAGTAAAGGAAGAAATGTAGTTTTTTATGTGTAAGCATTATATATAATATTCTGCACTCTGACACACATCTGAAAAAGGCAAAAATATCTGTAATTATGTAAGAAAGTTCTAGACAAAGCAGGAAAACTGCATAACCAACAAGGAAGATCTTATTGCTGTGTAATGCCTTCCAAGAAGTGTGTCATATACCTTTTATCTGAAAATGAGGAAAATGCATGAATTATTTAAGAACTTGCCTATTTATTACCAAAACTACTTTGTCATGTAAATGAGCAAAGAGTTCTGAAATTTCCCAGAAAAAAGTATGTCCCAGAATTAGATCCAACATCAATTCTTCATTATTCATGTAAGAATCATATTAAAATTTCAGAGCATTAGTAACTTGATTATCACAACAGCAACTTCTTATGAAAGAAGTATAGCTCCCTGGAAACATGTAAATCACCATTTTCCCATAAGATTTCAAAATCAGAGAGCTCACATTACACCAAACATGCGACAGAGCAGCTAATAAAAGAATAATTAACTCCAAAGGCTGCAACATAGACTTCATCGCAAGTCGGGCAGATGCATCTGATATTTATACTGGACATCAGTCCCCAGTACAAACCACCATGCACCACAGCACAATCTTTGATTTTAGTAGCACCCTTCAGGATCAAAACGGACTGAGGCAGCTGAGACAAGGCAGCCAGTCTGAGCAGAGATGCCGAGAGAGCAAATTCAGGGCTCTGAACAGTGGTGTCATTTTGCTGCAAATATTTTATATTAAATTAATCAAACTTGTGTATAACTTCAGTATGGAACAGCAGACAAGGACGAAGCAAGCTTCATTCTCTGAAACTAAATAGTTTAAAACCGAGTCATATAAACTATCTGTAAACTCCTTTTAATTCCAAACTGGATCATTTAAGGGATATTTATTCACTCACTCTTACAGTCCTCCTTTTTTATCTTCTCATTTTAGGCACAGAGCTGACATCAACATCCACATGATGTAAGTCACGAGCTCCAGCACATGCTTAATTTAAGGCTCATCCAATAGTTCCAAAATACTTCTGAGACATGCATTTCAGTGCCTTACCAAATGAGGTCTGCTTCAATTTATGACAAATCACAACTGTATATCAAAATAAACATTTCTTCCAAACCAGACAGAACTGTAACTCCCCATGGCCTAACCCCATCAGAATAATTCAAACGGTGTCTAACTCTTGAGTAACTCAGAGGATTTGAAAAAGAGCATTACTTAACCAAAACAATTCATGATTTAAGAAGCACCTAGTTCTGAAGGTTCATGGCAAATTGACAATCTGCAAATACTGGAATTAAAAAAAAAAAAGTAATTAAATGAAAGCACATGTTTAATTATAACTATTGGAAGAGGTAAGTATAATTACCAGGGAAACTAATTGTGAGACAAAGCATTATGAGACATACATAATTATGAGTATAAAAATAATGACTATATATTAATGGGCAGAATATCTCAATCCCGAGAGCTAAATTTCAGCATTTGTTTTTAACCAAGACAATCTGTACATTCTCACTTTGACTTTAACACAATACCCACCTTAGAACGCATGTGTAGAAACCACTGTCTTGCACCTCAACCGAGTGAAACCATATTGAATCTTCATCCTTGCTCATCCTAACTTCAGAAAATATAATGGGTTCTTCTAAATCTCCTTTGTTTTTGTACCACATAAGCCTAAGACCTGTGCTTTGGGCCATGCTATAATTAGTTCTGATATAGCTGTAGAAAAGGGCACATTTCACTCGGACTGGTTCACCTGCCAAAGCCATGTATGTCTTGAGATCCACTGACCAGTCAATGCAACCATCAACTGAAAGCAAAACAATAATAAAGAAATATTAGATACAGATACATTTTTTCAACATAGTGAAAGGCAGCTTGTGAAATGCAATGCAATTAAATAAAAGAACCTGTTCCATAGCAATGTGAAAAACCTGAAGCAGCCACTGGCAATTAAAGGGTTTTATACATCTTTTTTAGTTGCATGTAAATGCGTATGTGCAGGCAATAAATAGAGCCCACTGGGCCAGCTCAGTTCCATTTCTTTAGAAAATCATTACTTTCATCCCCAAAACATCAATTCTTTAATAAATAAACCAAGTGTTTTCACCTTAACTACTTGTCCCAGTGAGCCCGTTTTGAATTTTTTAATTCCTTGCTGGAGGAAAACATACACTGGCATCTGATCCCAATCTCATCCCGTAAAACTTTTCCATTCACCTCTGCTAATTATGTTACATAAAAAAAAAAAAATAACAGACATGACATTTATCTTTCCTTTTCAAGACAGTTCCACATAGATTTTTTTTCTCCTACAGCCTACTCAGACTGTAGAGATACGTATTACACACAACAGGATACAACTCCAACATGCTACCTACGCAATCCAGCTTAATACAGGAATTGTACAAACATGAAAAGGGGTATTTTGATGTTCTGTTCAGCAAAAACTTTTGAAACGGTTTTATTGATACTTCACTTGAAAAATGAACATGTCAGCCAGTTTAATGAAAGATTACTTGTCCCTACAATTTTTTTCTCCCATTATTTTAAATTATCTTAGTTACAATATTTTCCTAGAACATGCAGCCATATCAACATGTAACTCCTCCTCACATATCAGAGCCCTTTTAATTCAGTCTTTTTTATTGCTGGAAAAAAGGTAAGCCTGAAAGCTAACCAAGAATATAACCAAAGAAAAGGACTGCAAAGGCAGATCATCAATAGGCAAATACACTACCTAAAATTAATAGACTTCAAGAAATGTGTAGTTTTTAGAATTTGTTGCTCATATCCAGCTACACGTAAGCGGGACATCTTTACCCTTGATGTAGCTACCTCACATTCAACCAAGAAAGGTTCACGTTGCCTCTTCCACATTTACAGTATCAATTCTCAAACTCTAGATATTCTCACACACTCTTCATTTCATATACGTCTTCAATAGCATTCACTAACTGATTTTTTCATTTACTCCCTAAACAAATGTAGTGAGCCAGAATTTCTACATGCAGTAGAATACCAGATCTAGTCCTTTTATTTTAGTGGCTTTTACTCCTTTTGAATTACGCCTACCATTTTTTTCAGGCTTCTCTTGAATCCTTCAAAACTAACTGTGGTAAATGGAAGGTTTTAATTTTCCCATTGCGGTAAGTCAGCTTTAACTGTACTGTGACCGCATGAACCATGCAACTGATCCGTATTTTAAATCTGTCAACACTGAGCACTTTCATACCTCTCTAATACATAAACTTCCACATAGCATCCTGCTGTAAAACAAACTAACCTGGGCTCAAGAGGGAAGGGAAACTGGTTACTCAAAACTATACTTTTAATGTATCTGCTGTCATGAGGTACTGACAGGCGAAGGGAGATGGTACAACACCTTCACCCCAAGTGGTGCAGACCAGGGTGCCTGCTCCTGCCACCCACCCCACACACAGCGGCTGGCTGTGCCAGTCAACTTCTTACTTCAACAAGAAAAGCCCCAAAACCAAAACGTTCACCTGGAGTTAGGTACACACAGTTTCGGTTAACTTCCATTTTCATTTCCATACTTATTTTGCTTAAAACATCCTGCTGATTTAAATTAAAATTCATTGCTTCTTGGGTTTAACAGCTACTGTTAATGACATAAAATGAAAGGCCGGTAGCCATTTACTGACTTTCCTTCTCCTCACTGCTGCAGCATCACTTCTTCCTCTGTGTTCTCCCTCTCATGGCTTAGTGCCACTCAGAACAGGACAAGTCTGGATAATCATTATGAAAATCATGTACTGAAGTGTTTGTTCTCAGCGCATCGCCTCCAAGTTTACAACATCCTTCACCGTGACTAAAGCCGCACACTGTAACTCTAACATTCTCTTGGAACACTGCACCCACCTCTCTCTGCGATGGTGTTACACAGACACAGGCAACCAACAACAGAGCTGGAATAAAAGTCACCCAGACCTACAAACCCATCCAATCAATTTTTACATTAAAGCCTGGTTCTGACATCATAAATTATTTTCTGTAGGTGGCTTTGAAGGCTTTTACATGGAGTGGGTATCACTGTACTCCATACAGAGCTTCCTCACAAAAGCTCTGTGCTTTTTTAAGCCCTGCTCTTCAGGCTGGTGTGAGTTTACAAATAAAGAACGGGACAGAGCTTACAGCCGCCTCCTCTCAGCAAGGGACGTGAGCGGCAGCGCTGGGCTCTCCCGACGGAGAAGCATCCCCGTTCCCCAGGACACACAGGTATTCTCAAAGGCACCCTTCCTCCCGGGCTCCTGCAGTCACAAAAGTCTAAGTAGGGCTGCAAGCTGAAATGAATAGGGGCCCGGAAGCGGAATTTAGATACGAACTAATTCAGCCGATCTAATTAATTCTGTCAATCTTCTGTCAATCTAATCCTGCTCATCTAGTGCTTTCACACCTTTGCTGGTTCAGCAAAGTTAAACCCCAGTAAAGAATAACTGACCTTCAGGCACACATGGAAAGCTTGTGGGCGAAGCAGAAAGGTGCCGTTTTTTCAGATATTTCACAGAGCACAGTCACAACTAGGCAGAGTTACAGAGTTAGGTACTGATTCAACACGAAAATCCAGCTTCGGAAGCTGAAAAGGCCTCTGCTTCCAACAAAATTTCTCCCACATCCACACCAAACTACTTGTCCAAGCACCACTCAAATGAACACTAAGCATCCTTCAGCACCCTTCAATCTGCCTCATCTTCCACTTTCATTCAAAAATGTCTTCTCTCTTCTCATGTGCACTTCTCTATTAGTTTATTTTCAAAATTACAACCGCTGGAGTATACAAAGCGCAGCAGAACAGGTGAGACACCCCTGAATGGTAATTTACAGCCAGGTCGTGGAGTGGCTGAAACCCAGACCCAGCTGCCCTCAGCCACGGTGACCTGCCCCCAGCCCAGCCCCTGCATCTCCAAAGAAGAAGAGAAAGAAAAGGAGATTTACACCAGAGACCTGTTTCCAAATGGAAAAAGTATCCGAATGGAAGAATTTCAGCAGCCAGCGGCGAGGCTGACCCCAACAAGGGGGAAGGGGGAAGGTGCAGGCAGGCTGCCTGCCCTCGCCCCTGCCCGCCCCGGCTGCTCCCCGCAGCAGCTCACTCCCGCAGCGCGCCAGGAGGAGGTAATTACGGAGAGCAGCGCACACAGGGAGCGGAGTAACTATTCATTATCGGGTTGATGACATCTGCGGAGGGGAGAAGTCTCACAGAGCGCCTTGACTAAATCTTAATTATTGAAGAAAGATTAATCAAACAGGAGACGACTTTTTCCCCTTGCTCTTTTGTTCTTGTTAAATACACAGTCAAGAACGTTTCCACTTATGAAGCTGTAGAGGCTAAAATCTAGGTCAGGCTCCCTGCGCTCACGTGGAAGCCGGAATCTTTCCTCTTGCCGCGCTGTCAGTCACTGGAGCGTGAGCACTGTGAGATTCATTTGGAGTATTCTCCAAGCTGTCATTATAAATGACTGGAGCTGCTTAGGTGGAGTTTAGCACTCCATTATCCAGAACAAAGTTTGCTGTCATTTTTGTTGGGCTGGCTCTCAATACCTAACATGATCAGGGTGGTAAGAGAAAAATAATGGCATTAGAGAGAGGTACTTATTATATAATAAACATATATACTTCTTTCCTCTGCTACCCAATAATCAGCTGATCCTTAACAAGTGCCTGACTGAAAGCTCATTCAAATTAAATCCTATCTATTGTGGGTGTATTCTAGACACTTTCAATACAGACAATTATCTGAAAATTTTTCTAAAATTTGGAACATTGAGAGGATATGGAAAGCACTGTTCCATTTTTTACCCAGCTCCTTAAGGAGAAGATGTTTGCCGATCTATCTGTCAGTCCCCCCACCCCGTTAGCTTAACTTCTGACACAACTGACTCAACTTCACCCTACTTTGCAGAACATAAAAGTGTGCAGGGACACGAGAGCCCTACACGGGTGCAGGAGAGAGACCCGACGCGTCCCCGCGGGCAGGGAAACGCAGCAGCCACTCGTGGCGCCGGGGCCCTGCTGGGCCCATCCCCAGTATCTATCCAGGCTAATGCAACCTGAGGAGATAGTGAATTGAAAATGAAGGTTTCAAAATGATTAAGCAAATTAGAGATTAAGTTGGCTGACAGTAAGTTACTGTACTTTTATGTCAGCAATCACCCAAAGTGTGTACTGCATCTTCTTCCCTAACATTTCCTGGTAATTTCCCATTATTCTTATTTTAAATAAATCTAGTTGTCTAGGGAGTCTAGATGCATTTTAACATGAACCATTATAATTTATGAGCAATTATAGAAGACCATGTACATAGTCTCTGAGTAATTTGTCTTTCTGCTTGCTGTCACATAAATAATTTTTTGCATTGCAAATCTGCCTGTAATAATTTTTGTAGGGATCTGTCACCTACAGCAATTTATATCATGACATTGTTAAACATGTTTTCCTACCTTGTTACCTGAAAATCTCATTTTAAATTGAAATCATCTACAAATAAATAATTAAAAAAATAATACACTAGCTAATGTATTAAATTTATTGCTCCACAAAGCAAGCAATGCTTGTGACTGTAAACACGCAGTCAGAAAAAAACCCCACATTCCTCTGATACAGGAGTTTTATTTTTATTTATATATTCGCCATAAAACAGCAGAGTCCAGGAACTGATATCCATCATGCCTGGGGTCTGCAGACACGCAGCAACGATAGATACACTCCATTACGGAAGTCCAAAAAGGGATGCAAATCTTATTTATAGGCTCTTAAAGAGGAGACATCAGTTACAGCCCATGAATTTTAGGC